CAAGGAAATCCCCTGGCCCGAAGCAAATAATTATTTTCGTCCTTTTCAAGAGTCCACGGTGTATTTAATTGTTTATTTTTGATAAATGAAAAAATTGAAGCTAGAAAATCAAAGCTTCCAAATAAATGGAATAGAAGTGCCTATGAACTGCTCCGGTCTTCTTTATTAGAAGATAGCTCTTTACAGCTTATAATTGCAGCTTTGTGGTCCGCATAATAACTAGCATGAGTCGTCAAGTGGCCTACACTACTTGCTTCTGATGTTTAATGTTATCTCATGCCCTGTTGCTATTTCATCATATTGTTCCTTATTTTCACCTTGTTTATTATTTTAAAAGAGTAATCGTACTTATGTCATTTTTCTGCATGCAGCGGCCAGTGAAGTGCCAACTGCTCCTCTCTCAAAGATCAGAGAGCAAGTGACAACCCTTTGCATCAACATTCTGCACTCTTATCGTAAATACTGCGCCACAGTGTCATCCTCGGGACAACTTATCCTTCCAGAGGCACTTAAACTTCTTCCTCTTTACACACTGGGTATATCTTGCATTCCTTTTACCCAAGCCTTTCATTTTCCAAAGATTTAACAGAGTTGGTTTATACATGCAGTATAGTGTACAATTAACTCTCTTCCATAATTTTCTTTTCTTTTCCTTTTTATATTTAAGTTGACATATTGGTCAAAATGCGTATACCCCTCTCCTCTATGTTCCACCTTGGTTCCCTTTGGTTGTTATTCTTTACGATTGTTTATTCAGTGTATTATATTAGTTGAGCTAATGTTAATCATATGAAGGAAAATAGTGCCGAGAAAAGCTAAATGAATCATTGATCACCCACTCTTTTCATCTAAACGTTATATGCATTTAGCTTCCGAATGCTTCGTATGTATAGAGTATATTGAATGTCTACCTGCCTGCCTCTAATCTCTTTGTCGCTACAAAACTATTTCCTGTAACTTGTTTGAAAAACATAATGTAATAGCTATGTTAATATAAGTTTTCTTAATTTTTCAGCTTTGCTTAAAAGCACTGGACTTAGAACTGATGGACAGATTGATAGTAGGTCCTTCTGGATTAATTATGTTTCCCCACTCTCTACTCCATTGGCAATCCCTCTGGTCTACCCTAGATTGATAGCCATTCACGAACTCGATACAGAGGTATGGACATGTATTTATGGATTTACTTCCCTTTTTTCTTTTGCCTTTTTAAGTCAACTTGGTAGTTTTATTCATTTTCTCGATTCATTTTGAACATTATTTTAGGATTACATTTCTTACATCTCATTCTGTATCTGAACTTGCAGGAGAATGACGATTCTCTTATTCCTCCTTCTATTCCACTTTCCAGTGAACAGATCAGTGACAACGGGATCTATCTTCTCGAGAATGGCGAGGACTGTTTGATATATGTTGGGAACTCTGCAGATCCTAGTGCTATCCGTCAGCTGCTAGGCATTTCATCTGTTGAAGAAATTCCTGCTCAGGTAAATTGGCATGTCTTTCCCTGTTGATTGGTAATATTATTCTATATGTACGAGGAGGTAAAAGAGGGGAAAACATTCTNTATGTACGAGGAGGTAAAAGTGGGGAAAACATTCTCAGCACCTGTTTTCCTAGGATTCCCCATATAGAGATTTGATCCTTCTGCTGAAACAAGTGCATTTAATTTGTATATATTATTCTTGATTGCTTCGGTTAAACTGTATGAATCCGCGGTGGTCAGATGTGTCCGTCTTAAAAGTAAACTTGGGTTTGTTTTTTTGGGGGGTGGGGGTGGGGTCTCCTGTATGCTGTTTGTTTATATTTTGTTCTCCAACTTATTAGTCTCTTGGGTTTGTTAAGTTCTTGATGGACAGAGCAATCAAATGTTTTTTTTCCCTTGGTGAAGCAAAGCAATTACCTATTGTAATTTAGCTCTTCTCTGCTTAAATTCTGAATTTTCCCTTTTTCTCCTCAGTTTGTTCTGCAGCAGTATGACAATCCACTTTCTAAGAAGCTCAACGATATCATTAATGATATTAGACGCCAAAGGTGTAACTATCTCCGGTATGATTCTTCTTTTTATGTGTATTTGCTCCTCTCTTTATTTCTACCTTTTAGGAGATGGTTCCTCTATTACATTTCATTACTTATAAATCAAAAGGGATGTAAATGTGAAGTCTTAACTATAACACTTAATATTTCTAATTTCTGATATGTTCTCATTCTGATCTTCGCAGCTTAAAATTATGCAAAAAGGGGGATCCATCAGGTTTGTATCCACACCATCTTTTCTCACTTCTACCCTCAGTCTTTTAACACCCACCCCCCACCCACCCCACAAAATTGTAAATTCATGAAGTGAATTAAAGGAGAAGGGACGGAATAACTAATCATCAAACTGATCTAAATAGTTTAATCTTTTAATCAATTAAATATTTACCCTGCATTTATAGCTGCCTGGTGTAAATACTTCATATGAGATCTTGCAATGACTAATCATCCTCACTTTGTTTATTAACTCACCTTTAGCCATTCCAGATTTGCAAGTTTTAAAACAATATCACTAGTTATTCCTAGGTTTATGTGAGGTTAGAACTATTGTATCGTAGCAGGTTGTCTTTTACTCTTGTTTTAAGCCAAATACCAATGAGGCAAAAAGGATGATTATACAAACATTTCCCAAAGGATTTCTACATGCAAGAAGCATGCTCATGTCAGATTGATTTGGAATGAGAAAAATTATTTTCTTCATGTGATGTTCATTCTTGGTCTTGCCACTAGCATGTTCTTAACGTTTGAATTTCTCTTTGTCAGGCATGTTATTTTTCTCACACATGGTAGAAGACAAGACACAAAGTGGACTTTCATACGTCGAATTTCTAGTGCATATCCATCGGCAAATTCAAAATAAGATGGCTTGAGAGAAGATGTCCAATTCTCTTCATGAATTTTGACCATAGAGAAAGGGTGGTACAGATGGTTTCAGTATGAAGAGGCGCAAATAAGCTTTCGAGGAGCGGCCTCATCCATGATGTTCTGTTGAAAAGCAGGAAAAGCTAGTTTAGATGTCAGAGCTCTCGAAGAATTTTTGAAGTGTAGCACATACTCAAAAAGAATGAAGAAGAAGCATACTTTTCTGTACTTTCACAGTGATAGTGTTATTTATTCTGTTTATTTTTCTTGATATGATTTGTAAAACTAAAATAGATAAAAGGGTTTTGTTGACTATATGGAGGATGGTGTCGAAAAAGTGGTTCTTTTTCTACCGTGTCTGAAGTAGCGAATGTTGTCTTGAATCCCAGAGCAGCATTAGCTGAACTGAACTCTGAAAATAGAGCTATTTGAGCTTTTCAATTGGCTGAATATGCTTTGTAAAGCTGTCCAAGCCTTGTGGACCGAGTTATCGGTACCTGTGCCGGTGGGATTTCTGTTACGGCCCTAAATCTGGATCCGGTCGTGATGGCGCTTCTCACGAAGACAAGGCCAGCCGATACATTCCCACTTCCTTTTAAGCAATTAAAATAATAAGAATTTAAGTCTTTAACATGATAAAATCTTTAAATAAGTAGTGAACAGTACAATTTGCAGAATTAAAACCAATACAACCCGACATCGGGGTGTCACCACATACGATCGGCTCTACAACAACAGTATCGCCTACCGGGGTAGATACATGAACAAGTGAAACAAGAGACTCACGAGGCGTACCCAAATAATGAGCAAAGTATGAGGACACATAAAAAAAAGGTGGAACCGGGATCAAATAATACAGAGGCATCTCTGTGGCAGACTGAAACAATACTTGTAATAGCAGCATCGAAAGCAATAGCATCGGGTCTAGCTGGAAGTGCATAGAAACGGGCTTGACCGCCCCCTGATCGACCTCCCCCTCTAGGGCGACCCCTAGCTGACTGACCTCCATCCTTTGCTGGGTGGGTGGGTGGTGATGAAGTAACTGACGCTGAAGCCGATGGCTGACCCCTCTGCTGAGATGGACCCGCAAGACGACGTGGACACTGCCTCTACCGTGTCTGAAGTAGCGAATGTTGTCTTGAATCCTAGAGCAGCATTAGTTGAACTGAACTATGAAGATAGAGCTATTTGAGCTTTTCAATTGACTGAATATGCTTTGTAAAGTTGTCCAAGCCTTGTGGATAGAGTTATCGGTATCTGGACCGGTGGGATATCATAAGTGCCTCGTGCAATTAGTCGATGTGCGCACAAGGTAGCCGAGATACCACGATTATTAAAAACGATACTCTTTCAGTCGAGCTGTCAAATTTCCCTCAATACTCTGGGATTTTGTTATTAAAAAGCGTAGAGGAATTAAGTTTTCGTTCTCACGTTATTAAAACAATTACAAACTTTCCATCATAAAGATTAGTGTGAACTCGCACAGGTGAAAAAAGTAGGCAAATATATGAATGAGTGAGTTGAAGAATGGTTATGAACTGATGTACGCAAAGAAAGAACCCTAGAAAATTGTTGTCTTCTTGATCCGAGCAAGGAAGCAATTTACATGGTGAAAAGGAGTATTTCAATTTCATTTTAACGAGCATACAAGCCAAAGAGTCTAATTAATGCTTTTCTGTTTTTACTTTATGAGATATGAATAATTAGGGTTGTGCATTCAAATCGGTTTATCGATAAATCGCATCGATTATTTGTTATCGGTTTATCTATTTATCGATTTCGATTTCGAAATTTTCCTTATCGAGTTATCGATTTCGATTTTGTCCTCTTCGGTTATCGGTTTATCGATAAACCGATAAGATATACTAAATTTTTTTTATTTATTTTACCCTTATTCTATAATACCCTTTCCTTTACCCTAAGTCCTTAACCCTATTATTTCATCTACCACATTTAAGGAATGATCATATTTAAAGCTCAAGGGAATGAAGTTTAAATTAATGGAAGTGTTGGTGGCATACATTTGATCCCTTACTTTAGTTTCGTTGCATGTGCTTGTTGACATAATTTTTATGTTATAAACGGTGTTCGTCTTATTTTAGCTTTTTTTTTGTCCATATTAGTTAGGCGTGTTTATAGCGATATACTTTCCGTAGAATCCCGCAAATTTTCTTATTGGTGTAATCGATAACCGAATCGATAAGCCCAAAAAATCGATAAATCGAAATCGAAAAAATCGAAACCTTATTGAAACGATAACGATAAACATATGTACAAATCGATAATCGATAAGTGTCAAAATCGAATCGATAAATCGAATGCACACCCCTAGATATGATCATATTTTTGCATGTTTAACTGTTTTAAGTGTCAAGTACAGAGAAGACAACGACAACAACAATAATGACCCAGTAAAATTCTACTAGTGGGGGGAGGGTAGTGTGTACGCAGACCTTACCCCTACCCCGAGGGAGTAGAGAAACTGTTTCCAAAAAACTCTCGACTCAAGAAGATAAAAAGAGACAATATCAGTACCACTAACATATACCGTAGGAATAACAACATCATAAAGATCAGAAAATAGATAAAAAGCAAAAGCGATAGCCATTAAATAAACCGGGCATTATGAAAAACGAAAGAGTAGTAAGACACAACATTAACCACTAGCAGTCTAAGACAAAAATCCTATCAGACTAACCTCACAAACGTAGGAAGTAGAAAAAGATACAACTACCTCCTAACCTACAACCTTATCAAGGGTCATGTCCTCGGAAATTTTGCCTCGCCATGTCTTGCCTGATCACCTCTCCCCAATACTTCTTAGACCGCCCTCTACCTCTTCTCGTGCCTTCCAAAGCCAGTCGCTCACATTTCCTTACCGGAGCATCTGGGCTTCTCCTCTTTACGTGCCCGAATCATCTGAGCCTCGCTTCCTGCATCTTGTCATCAATGGGAGCCACACCTACCTTCTCCCGAACATCATCATTCCTGATCTTATCTATCCTAGTGTGTCCGCACATCCACCTCAACATCCTCATTTCTTCTACTTTCATCTTCTCGATATGTGAGTTCTTAACAGGCCAACACTCAGCCCCATATATCATGGTCGGTCTAACCGCCGCTCTATAAAACTTACCTTTGAGTATATGTGGCACACTCTTGCCACACAGAATTCCAGATGCTAACCTCCACTTCATCCACTCCACCCAATACGGTGTATGACATTCTCGTCGAACTCCTCTCCCCCTTGGATAACCGACCCAAGGTACTTGAAACTGCCTCTACTTGGGATGACCTGTGATTCAAGCCTCACATCCATGCCCGCTTCCCTCGGCTCAACGCTGAACTTGCACTCCAGGTATTCCGTCTTTGTCCTGCTCAGCTTGAAACCCTTAGACTTAAGGGCCTGTCTCCAAACCTCCAACCTCTCGTTAACATCGGCTCATGTCGCATCAATCAGAACTATGTCGTCAGTGAACAACATACACTATGGCACCTCACCTTAAATATGGTGAGTTAGCTCGTCCATCACTAGGGCATATAAGAACAGGCTGAGCGCCGAACTTGGTGTAACCCCATAATAACTGGAAAATGCTCTGAGTCGCCTCTTACTGTCCTAACTCGAGTCTTAGCCCCATCATACATGTCCTTAATCGCCCTAATGTAGGCAACCGACACACCTTTTGCCTCCAAGCATCTCCAAAGAACCTCTCTAGGAACTTTGTCATACGCTTTCTCCATATCAATAAACACCATGTGCAGATCCTTCTTGCTCTCCCTGTACTGTATTACCAACCTTTTAATAAAGTGTATAGCTTCAGTAGTAGAACGACTTGACATGAACCCAAACTTGTTGTCGGATATAGATACTGTCCTCCTCACCCTCACTTCAACCATCCTTTCCCAAACTCTCACGGTATGACTCAGTAATTTGATACCCTTATAATTGTTACAACTCTGGATATCACCTTTGTTCTTGTACAACAGAACCACCATACTCTACCTTCATTCATCCGGCATCCTCTTCATCCTAACAATAACATTAAACAACCTAGTCAGCCACTCCAAGCCTGCTCTACCCACACACTTCCAAAATTTAATCGGAATTTCGTCTGGCCCGGTCGCTCTGCCCCTACTCATCTTACGTATAACTCCTACCACCTCCTCAACCTCGATGCGCTTGCAGTACCCAAGTCATGGTGACTCTCGGAATGCTCCAGTTCACCTAGCACAATATGCTGATCTCCTTCTTTATTCAGAAGTTTATGAAAGTAAGTCTGTCATCTCCTCTTAATCTGGGCATCTCCCTTCAATACTCTACCATCCTAGTCTTTGATGCACCTCACTTGGTCCAAATCCTAAGCCTTCATCTCTCTCGTCTTGGCCAGCTGGAATAACTTCTTCTACCCACCTTTTCCCTAGTTCTTCGTACATACGACCAAAAGCCGCAGTTTTAGCCTCCGTGATCGCCAGCTTAGCCTCCTTCCTAGATACCTTATACCTCTCCATGTACACTCACCTCTCCTCCTCACCTATGCTTCCTACTAACTTTAGGTACGCCACCTTCTTCACTTCTACTTTACCTTGGACCACTTCATTCCACCACCAGTCTCCTTTGATGCACCTGCTCTTCCAAGCTCCTATAGCCGACAACCGCCCCTCCAACTCCTGAGCTTTATCCTTAGTCAAGGTTCCCCACCTAATTCTCGATCGTCCTCGGACAGACCTTTTCTTCCTCTTTAACATAATACCAACGTCCATCACCAAGAGACTATGTTGCATAGAGAATGATCATGAAAAGCTTTTACGACATAGAGTATAGGGTGAAGAAATACTAATTAGAAGATGTCCGATAATTGTGTATATAGATAGTCGGTAGATGTCTTAAACGCATAGATCAACTAGATGATGCAGTTGGTGGACAAAATTTACTAGCGATAGTAATTTGTGGGATGTAGCTCATGAAGCGGACGTGGAAGTAAGGCTTAATATACAAGTTAATATGAAGAGAGGAAGTTTCAAGTTTCGGGACAATAATCCAAGGTTATGGGAGATTGACGATGATATCATCTATCGTATTGGGACGCGATGGATGAAATGGAGGCTCGCATTTGATATCTTGTGTGATAAAAATGTATCACAGATGCTTAAAAGTAAGTTCTATAGAGTGGTTGTTAGGCCGACTATATTAGATGAGGTAGAGTGTTCAGTCAAGAGTTTGCATGTCTATAAGTCGAAAGTAGCGAAAATGAGGATGCTGAGATAAATGTGTGGACATACTAGGAGAGATAACAGGACAAGGCGGAAGCGGACCCCGTGGTGGACAGTTTGAGCATGTAAAGAGGAGAGG